GCCCTTGAATGGCAGTGACGTCCCCATGCACTGGGAAGACAGCAGTGGAAGTCTCATGTAGGTCTGCCATCTCCAGGAAGGAGCACAGTCTTCCTCTGCTGTTATTTCAGGTTTTCCCAGTTGCCAGTGCTCAGAAGGAAAGCATAGTTATGTGATGATCTGATTGTGTGTATTATCTTGATCGTGAACCATTTCAATCTAAATATGTCTTTTCCATCTTTGAAAGATTCTTCCCTGTAATGCTTTAATATTGTCCTCATTTTTCTTATTCTCTCCCTTGGTGATTCTTATTACTTAAAATTAAATTTCTCATTCTATTTTCTGTGTCTCTTAACTTATCATTCATACTTTCCATCTCTTTCTCTCTCTGTGCTGCTCTCTCTGGGTGATTTCCTCAGATCAATCATCCACTTCATTAATTCTACTTTCATTTATATCTTTACAGTTAACTATTCCATTGAATTTTCATTTAATGTGTGCATTTTTCATTTTTAAAAAGTCTATGTGGTTCTTTTTTCTCAAATCTGCCTTTTCTTAGTTATAATTTATAATTTCTATCCCTTATTAAATAGTAAAGAGCATTCAAATTTTTGCAGCTTCATCTAGCTTTTTTAAAAAATAAATCTTTATTTCAGATGAGCTTTAGGTACATGGAAAAGTTTCAAGATCGTACAGATAGTTCTTGTATAACCTGCACCCAGTTCCCTTAAGTATCTTACATGTGGTGGAGCATTGGTCACAACCAAGGAAATGATACTGGTACATTGCTATTAACTACACTCCACAATGTATTCGGATTTCACTGGGTCTTCCCGAGGTCCCTTTTCTGTGGCAAGATGTTATGCAAGAGAGCACTTTCAATCTAGTCTCTTTAGCCCTCTCTGGACTGTGACTTTCTCCTATTCCTTGGTATTGATGATGAATTTTCAGGAAGCTAATCATATATTTCGTTCCTCAGTTTGGCTTTGTCTGATATCTTTCTTATACAGTCTTATTATATCACTCGTCATGTAATTTGCTATCTTTCCTAGCTGGTTGTTTGTTTCCTTATGTGGTTTGTCCCTACTTGATTTTTTATTTTAGTATAAGCTTATCCATACCTAAAAGCCCCTTTCTTTGCTCTCCCTAGTGTGCCTGATCAGTGGGTTTGTCAGAGGGGTTTTATGTTGGGTTTGGCAAAAGCCTAGAAAATTTCTATTACCCTAGGTCATTTATTATGTTAATTTCTTTATGTGGGGTTTCTGGGACAAGATAGAGGACATGACTTCGTACTCTTAAAAGATTTGTGTGGTGCAGGTCTAGAGTTTTGATATCTTACAGATGACTTACTCTACCCTATACCCCATCTCTTCATCCAAGATCCTGGAGAGAGGGCAAATTCCACATGCAGCTTCTTGGACCAGCTTTACAGACCTGTTCATAGCTAGGTGGTGCCCCAAACTCCCTGTCTTCATGCCAGGAGTGTTTTAGTTCCCTGACATCATGATCAGAGCCATGTCTCCATCCCCTTGAAGCTGTATTTGCCAATCTGTCTTTAGTTTCCTCCCCTTATCACAAGCATCAGGATTTCTTTCTTCTTATTCCCTGGCTGTGTGCTAAAAGCCATTTTTGTTTTGGGGTTTGTTTACAGTGGGCCATCAAGGTCAGCTGACTTTACCATGCTACTGAAAGTACTAGTGACAAATTTTAAGTTTCTTGGAAGAGTTATGTCATACAAATCTTGTTTTCTGCAGTGACTAGCACCATGGGTAGGGGGCACATAGTGACACTCACTAAAGAATGGAATGAATGAATGGATGGATGGATGGATGGATGGATGAATGAATGAAGATCAAGAGAGCTCAGAAGAAGGCTAAGCATCTGCAGCCTGGTGAGCCCCTAACCAAAGCTCTGAATGAGCTCAGGAGATTCCGAGCAGGCAGGTAGCAGGTGCAAGGTCCCCTTGCTTAGTGCTCTAAGTCCCAGTCAGTGGCCCTGCCTCATGTTCCCCTATTCAACCTCAGGGACACCAGGATTTCACCAGCAGCTCACCCATCGGGGCTGCTCCCTTACTTTCGTCATCTTACAGTTTAGCCACTTTCTCCATCTCTTCCACAAAGAGTGGGCAAAGAGCAAGTGGGAGCAGAAGAGTTGCAGATGGTGACCTAAGGCCAGCCCCTGCCTCGGCAAATGCAGCCCAACTCCTGCTGCCTCCTGAGGGGCTTCAGTCTCTGGACCTCACACATGGGCACTGGCTCTACAGCCCCAAGGTGATGAGATGACCTCGCCATATAAGCAGGTAACTCGCTGGCACTGACCATCTCTTGGTTGAGTGCTCCTCAGCTCTGCCTGTCCAGTGCATCAAGTCCTCTCCCTCCTCACCTCAGTGGGGACTTCTCACTCCCCACTACCCTCTGCTCGCTCTGCTTTCATGAAAATGGGCTGAGGCTTGAGCTAAAGGAGGAGACAGCTAACAAGCTTTGCCTGGAGGCTGCTCTGTACATGTCACCCAAGAGTAAGAAAGACCACAGTATTTGGAAGGGAAGAAGGGAAGCTCCAAACTTGATAGGGGCTTCTGACTTGATGGGGGAATCAGGCTGAAGGCTAGAGGCTGTGGACAGAGGGTCCTGATTCCCCCACTCTCTGTCTGTAGCCTTCACTGCCGGGACCCCACCCCCAAATTCTCTGTGCATACAGTGTCTTAATGGCATCCAAGCGCCAACTCTGCCCTAGTTTATCATGGGATGGAAGAGCAGGACATGGGGGCCTCAGAAGCCCCCAGTGATGCTTGTGTAGCAGAGGGTCTCAAGTGACTGAAAATATCAAGGCCAGAAGCCCAACCCCACCCCAGCTGGAGGCTCCCAGCGGGGCTTAGAGAACACAGAACCTGTCTGTTCAAGGGAAGGGAGAGGGGAAGGAGCTGGGCTGGAAACGTTTCTGCTCCACTTCCTTCAGAAATATTTATAAAGATTAGCAGAAAGTGCAGGTGACAGAATCAAGGGATATCCAAGTTGCCATTGAGACGCCGCAGCGGACGTGGTGCCACCAGACAGAGCCTGGCCTGTGTGACGCCAGGGGCACAGCTGTCACTTTCGGGCATAGATCTGGTGCAGCGCGCACACTTTCCTGTGCTCTGGGAAGATCTGGCCTTTGATGCTTATAAGGTCAGCCACTCCGGGCTCCTCACCGCCTTGGCTGCAGCCTGCCACTGAAGTTGCTTGTGGTCTAATGATGTCAAGATCAAAATGGCTCTGCCAAGGGGCAGAGAGCCAAGCTGCCCCTCCCCAGGCCCATGCCGACAGAGCAGTCTGTGGGGTGTTAGGAGCCATTTTTAGCCCTTGGTTTTGGTGACATTTCTTGCATTCTAAAGGCCCTTCCTTCCTCATCTGCCATCTCCTTTCGTTTTCACACTAGACTTCGTTTTCACAGTGGCGCTCAAAATGAGGACTGAGGAAAAGGCTAGGTAGCCTGAGAGACAGGAGTAGGAGCTGAAAACAGGAAACATTGGATCTAGAACATGGCAGCCCCCCATGGATGTTTGGGGCTTCATGGAACCGACCTGTCTCTGTGAATCAGGGATCAGCAATGGCTACATTTAACCTGCAGGGGGCGCCACCTCCAGCAGAGAAATGCAAGGAGTGATGTAAACACAGTCTTTGTGGGGTGTAAAGAGGCCTCATGCAAATTCGGCACCCAGGGAAGGATGGAAAGGGGGTTAGGTGACAAGTGAGTTCCCGACAATCATGGCCAACAGACACAGGACACTACCCCAGGATGTGATTCCATTTCTTTTTGGGCAGTGAGAAAGCAGGATTTGGGATTGCTCCAGTCTGAAGGTGGTGGAACGAGCTAGATGTTCCTGAGCCATCTGACTTGAATGGTGTTTTTAAGTAATTGTGAACTCAGGGGACTTCCAACAGTACTGGAGCTCTCTGGAGTCTCTGGAGTCCTTGCCATTTCCAACAGAAATGGACCCAGTTGTCTCCGTGCATTCTTGTTTCCCTATAGTGCCCTGAAGGCAGATGAGTTTGTGGGCCTTTGAAGGGTCTGTCCTGCTGGCCCTCAGCTTGGGTGGCACAGGAGTCAGGGTTTTGTGGGCCTGAGTGGACAACATCCAGCTCACCTCCATGATGTCTAAAGGATATCATACGATCCCAAGGCTCTAACCTTGTGGAGGCCTTATTCAGCTCAAGGGAAGCAGATGATAGGAAAAACTTCAAAGGCCTGATGAGTGTCTGGAAGGTGAGGTTTCAAAGAAGCATTAGCTTGGTCAGCCAGCAAAGTGGTGACAAGGAGCCCTGAAGGAGGGGCAGGTTCCACAAGGACAGCAGGTAGAGACTGTCAGCCCAACTCCAGAAATGCTGCATGTGAGGACCTTGTGAAACACCAGTGCTCAGGCGTGTGGGAGGAGCCAGTCCCACAGGAGGGAGTTCAGGAGCACAGCCTAGGCTGGAGGTGGACATGAGTGTTACCAGCAGACAGATGGACAGGACAGTAAGCCACGGGAACAGAGAAGCTTGTCCAGGGAATGAGAAGAAAGGGTTCTGTTAGGAACACATCCCCAGGGACATCAGCATTGGAGAATGGATTATAGCCTGAGAAACACACAAAAGAGCCCTCCGGGAGCAAGTCTAAGAATGGGGGACCAGGAGTACCTAGAGACAAGAGAGAGAAAGGAAGGGTTTCCTGAGAGAGAGAGAGGGAAAGAGAGGGCCTTTAAGAACATCAAATGCTGCCTCCATTACACTTTTGCCTCTAGTCTGCACACATGGAACCTGCTCAGACTGCAGCGTGCGATTATGTCTGTATTTTGTTTTCCAAACAGTTACCTATTGGATGGCGCCTTTGACAAAGTCAGTACAAACTTGCTTCTTTGACTGCCTCCCTGCACTCATGCCCTCCCCGGCCCCACAGGGCTGGAGGAGCTTAGCAATCACCTGCAGACAGCTGGCCCAGGTGACAAGCACATCCGGAGTACCCACAGGTGCAGAGCCCCACCAGGGTGCCAGACGCGGGCTTACCTGGCACTCTCGAAGGTGGCTGACATTGTCTTTTCTACAGCCCCAAAGCCGACTCCAACAGCAAGACCCTCTGAAACAGACACAGAAAAGCAGTTGGGGTGAGGAGCAATTCCCCAATTAGGAACATCGCCATCACCATCTTGTGCCTAAAATAGCTTTAGGCTGCTAAAATCAGAAAGTCAATTCAACCATAAACCAAAATTCAAGGCCCAAAATACAGCCTGGGAAAGGAATCTGTTGCTGCATTGTCTTGTGTGACCTGCACGTTAAGAATGATTTTTTAAATGTTTTTAAAACACTGTTAAAAAAAACACCAAAGAAAGAATAATATTTTGTGATATGGGAAAATGATCTGACATTCAGATTTTAGTTTCTGTAAATAAAGATTTATTGGCACACAGCCATGCTCGTTAGTGGATGGATTGTTTACAGCCGATGTCATCCTGCATCCGCCAAACTGAGTAGTTGTGGCAGAGACTATATGTCCTGAAAACCTAAAATATTTACTATCTGTTCCTTCACGGTGAATTTGATGACTCTCAACCTAAACACACAGAGCTTTGCTCATTATCTCATAATAAAAAGTCCAAGTCTGACCTGGCAACCCTACTATGTCACTGAAGACACAGGCTGCTTCTGGTTTTTCGCTCCACCATCCTCACCAATTGGGTTCTCTTAATTGCAAAGTGATAGTAGCTCTCTAAGCACCTCACCTAGGTCCTAGCAAGAGAAGAGTGGAAAGGCAGAAGCTTTTCTTTATGGAGCCCCTGTTTCCTAACTTGGAAAGGGAAGCCCTTACTGGAAGACTTCCCCCCCATGCAGGGCTAGTGCCCACCATGGATGACACCAGCCCTGGGCTCAGAATACTCAGCCTTCCTGGCAGATCTGATCCAGGCTTGACCCCTCCCTGGCACAGGGGAAGGCCCCTCCGTGATCACCCTTCCCGACCAAGGCTTCTTCTCAAAGAGCTGGAAGGGTGGCAGGATCGCCATCTTCATTGAAGAACACCACCGCTGTCCAAGGTACCATCCTCAGGCGGGGGAGACTTAGGATCCACCCAGAGATGGCGCTGCAGCAGCATAGCTTGAAGCTCGAAGATGAACAAGAGAATCTTGTCCTGTCTGGCAGTACTCAGGGACTTGCCAGGTTTGCCAGAACCATGCCTGTGGTCAGGTGTGGAAGGGGGATCTTGCTCTGAGAGTGTTTGGTGGGGGCTGTAGGCTACAGCAGAAAATAAAACCGGCCCGGTGCCCAGGGACAAAAGGAGCAGAAGCACAGCCTCATGGTGCTTCCAGACATCCAAGGGGACATTCATGGCTCTCTCCAACCCAACAACAACCAGGCCTTGTCAGAATCAGCACCAAGGGTTTTGGTGCCAGAGTGGAACTTTTTGATGAAGGGAGGAGATGGTGAAATCTGCTGGGTGAGTGGGACTTGTCTTTTTCAAGATGCATGGTCTCTGGCTCATCTCTTTCTTTGCATCCTGTTCAGTTCAAGTGCCCCAAGGACACAGACTGTCCGGCTGAGTCCTGGAGGTGCATGGAAATGAAAAGCTTGCTTAAACTTGTCCTGTGCTAAGGCGAAGGGGCTCGCCTGCTACCCAGTCTGGTTCACAAGAGGCCACCATGGGGTTGGAGGCCAAAGACCCTGCACAGCCATAAAAGGTTCCCTTGTGCTTGATCTCCTGTGGGGCCTTGTGGGGTACTTGTGGTCAGCAAAAGCTGATGGGTGAGAATTTGGGATTCTGATTCCCCACCGAATATCTTCCCATATTCCTTTTAATAACCAACCTCAGAATATAGAGTTCTAAGACTTTATAGAACGAAAGGCGATCCCGAGACCAGCTGGTGGGACTCTTGGGCCATCCCCAGCTTCAGAAGCCATATGCTTGGGGGAGAGAGTTCTTTCTGACACCACAGGACCATATTGGGGTGCCTGAGAGCATGGTGCGCAGGCCAGCAGACCACACAAAGGTCCCCAAACACTCCCTCCAAAAAGCTCAAGGGAAAGGGGGACCAGCAAGTCCACACTGCCAGAGCAATCAGACTTTTCAAAATAGAGGTTTTAAAATTTTGTTCCTTTTCATTTATCTTTAAGGTACCTGACATCAGATCTTAATAAAGGCCATCCATCTGCGGAGTCTTTACTGGGCAAATCTTTCTCCCAGGTAGACTCTGGGTTCCAAGTTAGACCTTGTTTCGAGATGCTCATCTCTCCAGAGTTCTTCCCCTTGAGAAGTAAGTGTTGGTGGTGGCCTTCTGTATGCCAGGCCCTGGGCGACTTGCTTTATACAGGAACTGCAGGTGGGAACTGTCCCTCCAGGCACTGGCACAGAGATGAAAGGTGATGGGCAGCTGGCCTGAGGGCACTGGTGGCTCTGGATTCTGAGGTCCAGGATCTGTGTTCTCCATAGTTTCTGCCCTTTCCCTGTTCTTCCAGAAATTCCCTCCAAGGCTGGACAGTACGGTGAGGGGAGGGCATAATTCCAGGGAGAGGTTTGGATACATGCTCCATTTTCTAAGATTTGTTGACTTATCTGACAGGCTTCTAAAGCAGTAGACAAGAGTGAGGTCTGGGGATCCTTTGGGAATGTGCCTGGTGTTAATAACAGCTGAATTGCAGGACAAGCTGAGGTAAGGATGTTAGAGGGTTTCAGGCTTCAGGCAACTTTTCCACCAGGAGGAGGTGGCTTCTTTTTAAAAATTTAATTTAATTTAATTTTAGTTTAGTTTATTATTTTGTGTGTGTGTGTGTGTGTGTGTGTGTGTGTGTGTGATCCTGAGAATTGAACCCAGGGCCTTTGCAATGCACAACATCCCTAGCTCTTTTTCTATGTTTTTGTTTTTATTTTTTGTTTTTGGTACCGGGGATCAAACTCAGGACCTTCCGTTCGCCAGGCAGGTGCAGCACCACCGAGCTACATCCTCGGCCCTCTGTGTTTTTACTTTGAGAAAGGGTTTTGCTAAGTCACTAAGCTGCTCAGGCTGGGCTCCGACTTGTGACCCTCCTGCCTCAGCCTCCCAGAGGGCTGGCATTACAGGCTTTTGCCACCACACCTGGTGGGACAGCCTCTTTGTGTGCAAAGCTGCCCACCTCCAAGGTCACAAGAACACAAGGACAGGAGATGTCTGAGCCGCCATCCCCTGGCTTTCAACCTTCAATGGTCCGGGGATGTTTACAAACCTGCTGTTGTCAGCCTAGTTTTGCACAAACACAGGGGAGAGCACACTGGACAATGAGTCTCCAGCAAAGAGTTTCCCCAGGGACCCCTGGACCATCCCAAGAGATGTCAAAAGCTGGGGAAGGACTTGGGGCTTTTCCTGACACCAGACCTACAGATCTCTCCCTTTGAAGAAAAAAATGTGCTCTTTTAAACGATAAACAACAGCTGGCTGGCTCTTTTGTTAAAGTTTTCCTCTAATGAGTCATTTTAATGTAAATGATAGTGCAGCCCACAGCAATAGGACCTATGTTAATTAGCTAAATAAACCCTGTGAGTTGTTCAGCATGCAGCCTGAGCACTCTGACAAACCCAGGACCAAGCTTGGGGTGGGAAAAGGGACCTGCTCAGACTGATCCAGCTGTGGGGTGGCAGAAACCGGGCTTGGACCTCAGTCTCTTTGCTGCCCCCTCCTCCCAAGCACCCTTTGATGACAAGGTTGCTGACCTGAGCTTGTGGCTTTTCCTTGGGAGTGTCAGGGCCCCGTGCGTAGCAAGCGCTAGCATCTGAATTCCTCTGCCCTGCAGAGGTGGGGCAAAGCCAGTGTCTCCTCCCTCCAGCCTCCTGTACCTAAGCCAGGCCAGCGACAGGGGACCAGCCTATTGGTGTGCAGAGGAACAGGTCCTTCCTGACTGTAGTCCTGCAGCCTGGGGGAGGGACCCCACTACCCACTGCCTCAATAGCCCTGGCTGACCTTGGAAACGGACCCACACTGAGCCAGAGGGAGAGGAAGAAGAGGTAGCAGGGGAAGAGAAGGTGCTCCATACCATGCCAGAAAGCAGCAGTGATACGTGGGAGCTAAACAAATGAGAGGCTAAGATAAATTACACACATGGAAGAACATAAATTAGAGTATTGAGGCAGACACTGAGATCAACAGATGGTGGAAGGGACCCACCCGCTGGAAGAGGAACCGAGTTAAAATGCCGGCTGGAGCTTGTTCCCCCTGGTGTTCCACCGTGAGTACAAATTAGGGAGGTAATTAAGACAGGAAACCAATTGACAGGCACACTGTCAGTAAGCTCTTGCCCCTTTTCACAGCTACTGCCATTAGCTCAGGTGCAAAGAGAGGGAAAAGAAACTGCCGGCCCCAGGTTGGCAAGTCCGGCTGGTGCTGGGGACCTGGAGGACACACTGAATGCTAAGCACTGACACAGATGCAGCCCTTCCCACATTGTCCTGAGGCTGGAAAGGGAGGGGTTGCCTGCCTCCCCTGTCTCCCAGTCCTTCCTGCATCTCCATCTCGCCTCGGGCTCCATCAGGGACAAAAACAAGGAGCAGGAGAACATTTTGTTGAGACAGATCTGGGTCTGTTATTTCAGAGTCTTGCAAAGATGAAGGGAGGATGACAGGATGACATTGCTTTGCTTCCAGGGTGGCTGCAGAAAGTGAAACACACCTGACATGAACAAAGCAGAACTTCTCACGACTGCCACTTGGTTGCAGGAGATCCTGGTCACTGTGGGGCGATGAGCAGCAGCCTCGGCCTTTACCACTACATGACAGCTATCCCAGTTTCAACCATTAAAGGTGTCTCCAGAAACTGTCAAGTGTTTGCTGGGGGTGTACAGGGGAGGCCAGAACTCACTGGGGTTCAGAACCGCCGGCCTAGAACAAGGTGACATTCCACCCTTGTAATCTCTTTCTCACAATAAGCAACACTTGTGACAAAAATTTAAAGTATTCTAGAACAGTCAGGGTTCAAATGGGTGGGAAGAAAGTAAAGGATTGCAAATCAGTGTTTTCTCTCTTTTTTTTTTTTTGCTTAAATTCTTTTATTGGTACATTTTAGGTATTCAATACGTTTACATTTATCACTGGGTGCTTGTACCTGTACATGATGTATCTTG